ATAGACTTGCTTGTATACAAAAAAGTGGAAGTTTTTTCTTGTCTTGTGTTTGCACAGCAGCTTTATGGACAAGGAGTTAATTAAAGGAGAACTATGGGGTCCAAGCTTTTCTTTACTTTTGGATTCCATGGGCTATAAGAGTAAAGTTTGCAATTTACGCCTATAATCCAAAATGCACTCTAAACATATAATCGTTACTTTAAGATGGTGGGCGAGGCTAAGTGCAGCAGTGGGGAGAGATTCCGACAATACTGTTGAGATCCCCCTCACTGATCATTCGTCATTGTGACTGACGGCGCTTCTTGAGAACTGCTGCGCGTCCACGAATATTTGGGCATACGAAGCAGCTCTGTCCCCGCAGCTCTCTCCCTACCTCCACGTCGTCTGTGCCAGCAAATGGCAGCATGTGCATGGAAGGTTGTTTCTCCTCACGTCCTCCGCCCCTCCTTGCTCTGTCCCCGTCTTGAAAATGTGCAGCAGTTGTATGGAAATCTGTTCCCCATAAATCTTAGTTCCCCCTGCCGTTCAGCTATTACCATAACCCGGCCCCTTCCTTACAGGCGCTTGGTATTTACATAGCCCCGCCCCTCTCTCTGTAAGCTTCAGTGTTCTATGAGAAAGTCTCCTCTCACATTGTGTGCTCTGATCGTTCAGCTTCCACCTCCCCACACACTGTATAGGAAAAGCGCGGCCACGGCAGATAGAGTTAGAAAAAAAAAGCTGAGGGCAGGGCTGCATTCCCTGTTAACGCCCCCTAAGAGGAAAGGAGCCGTTTTCTGTGACTTGTGATTAATTTATCTAGGATGTGCTGCGACTTTGGAAAAGAAGAAGAATGCTAATAGAGTAAAGGCAAGAAGTACTTTTATTTGCCCTTAGGTCATAATTATCCTTTAATGTTTAGGAAAGAGTTCAATGAACAGAAATCTTTCATTTCATACAAAAATGTGCCATTGCCTGTTCTCAGTGATGAACACTAACCTTTCCTGTGAGAAACATTGAGGCTGCATGGCTGCCTGCTTATTCTGGTAATGCTAGTTGCCTATCATGTTACCTTTCTTGGTTCAAAATACATTGCTGGCATAAGTTTATTCCACACAAGTCTTTTTTTTTTTTTATACACTTAGATTATAAATAAGTTCTATGCATATATGCATTTCTCTACATTTCTACACATGGATGCTTAACATATATGCACATTTAGCATACTTTTAAACTCATTTTTAGAATACCTAATTTAAAGGAGGCTCATTGAATTCTGCATGCATACCACTACTGTAGCATGCAAAACAAAAAGTACACATTTGCTAATTACAAATTAGTGTTTATTTTTTTACAATTGTAACGTATACCATTAAATAGGACATGAACTATGGAAGCTGTGCCCAAAAAATGTAATTCAGTCAGCAAAAGACTAGTCACTAGTATTGCTTATAGGCTCTCTGTAGCTGATCTGTTCCCTATTACTATCCTAACATGCCTTGTTCCAAACTGTATCTCTGTGTGGAAGTTGCTATTTAGGTAGAGAGGCAGGCCTTTGCTACCTCATCTCAAAGCTGTTGCCTTAATGACTTGAGATCAAATGACTGAGGGGTTATTGATCAAGAAGCAGCAGGAGAGGTTCAGAAAGCACACATCCACAGACTGAAAGAGAAGCGGGACAATGCATGCAGTACAGGTTTAGGTCAGGTTTACATCTGCAGGATAACACACGCACATTACCACGTGCTCATTTTAAATAGGCTGCCAAAGCACCTAATCGCTGCAAAGGCTGCACCTAAACGTTTTTTTGAGAGTACAATGCACTACCCCATGTTGCGGCATGCTGCAACACAGGTGTGTTCCCTTAGTGCATTTGGGTGACACGTGCAGTGGCTTGCAAAAGTATTTACCCCATGGCATTTTCCCTATTTTGTTGCATTACTACATGGAATTAAAATTGATTTTTTGGGGGGGTTTGTATCATTTGATTTACACATGCCTACCAATTTAAAGATGCTAAATAGTTCTTATTTTGATACAAACAAGAAATAAGACACCCCACAAAGTCATTATTTGTAGAGCCACCTTTTGCAGCAATTACAGCTGCAGTTCTCTTGGGGTACGTGTCTATAAGCTTAGCACATCTAGCCACTGAGATTTGTGCCCATTCTCCAAGGCAAAACTGCTCCAGCTTCTTCTAGTTGGATGGGTTTCCTTGAGGTACAGCCATCTTTAAGTTATGCCACAGAATCTCAATTGGACTGAGGTCTGGGCTTTGACTAGGCCATTCCAAGACATTTAAATGTTTTCCTTTAAACCACTCGAGTGTTGCTTTAGCAATATGTTTAGGGTTATTGTCCTGCTGGAAGGTAAACCTCCGTCCCATTCTCAAATCTCTGGCAGACTGAAACAGGCAAGAATTTCCCTGTATTTAGCACCATCTATCATTTCTTCAATTCTGACCAGTTTGCCAGTCCCTGCCGATGAAAAACATCCACACAGCATGATGCTGCCACCACCATACTGCACTGAGGGGATGGTGTTCTTGGAGTGATGAGAGGTCTTGGGTTTGCGCCAGACATAGCATTTTTCTTGAAGGCTGTAAAGCTCAATTTTAGAATCATCTGACCAGAGTACCGCCTTCCATATGTTTGGGGAGTCCCCCTCATGTCTTGCTCATTTTTTTTTGCTTAGCCAATTAACATTTCCAAATGTTTAATACTTCTTAAGCATCTAAAAATGAAAAAATAATTGCTTATATTAAAAATAAGTCCTGTAGCATAGCTTGGTCTATGCTTATATCCTGAACATACAGAATCAAAGATGAAGGGCATGCCTGCATTTGGACGTGAATTCTGATTGTATGTAGTTTTTTGTTATGACAGGTTTAAAAAAACATAATTTTTGTACTTAGCTGAAAAATCCTTTTGTTGAAATCCATTAGTGTAGGGGTGCCCATTAGGTCGATCTCGATCTACCAGTCGATCACAAAGCAAACCCTGGTAGATCGCGATCAGCTTACTCTCCTGAGCTCCCTCCCGCGGTGCTTGTGCGGCTGAATGTGTCAGATGCTGCAGACAGGAAGGGAAGGGGCACTTCTCCCCGTCTACAGCGTCGGACACATTCGGCCACACTGTCTTCCAGTCTGTAGCGTTGGACACACTAGCACCGCAGGAGGACAGGACAGTGAACATGAGAAGAGGCGGGAAGCTGCTGCAGTGCAGGTAAGGATGGACAGCCAGAAGAGTGTAACGAGTCCCGTCCAGCTCGGACCACTCCTGTCTCTTCCCTTCTCTGGGACGGCCGCTTTGCGTTCCAGGGTGGAACGCGGAAGCCGTCCGACTTCCTGATTGTGAGGCGAGCGGCCTGCGTTCCATGGTGGAACGCGGAAGTCGTTGCGGACGGACAGCCCCGCCTCTCTCCTAGGGCTATTTAAACCCCCAGCTGAGGCAGCATGGCGTTCCACAATTGGAGTCAGAACACCTGCTGCCTCCTCTTGCCCAAAGAATGCCTCCAGAGACCCCCTGGACTGTCTGGACCGGATCACCTCCTGATTGGCCGCTTGGACTTAGACCTGGAACCCCTTTCTGGACTGCCAAACGCAAGTACAGCTCTGGTTGGAGCCATAAGCTGACATTCTGATCCTAAGCCTTGTGAATGATACTGACTGTCTAGCATTTAACCACGAACTATTACAATTGGGGGATTCCTACTTGCATCCGAGTGGCCCACCGCTCCTTAGAAAGTGCAACAGCTACCTTGTTTTTCGTTTACTGCTTGTGACGCTAGGCTATGAGTTAATAGCCCTGAATATACCTTCCTTTTGTTACGTGACGGCTGTGATGCTAGAGTCCCAAACTCCCCGCCAAAGATTGGGAGTGACGCCTGGGACTCAAGCCTGAGTAGCCGTCCCCACTCAAACCTCCGCAGCTGCGATCCACTTCATTGTACTTACAGAAGGCGTGACAAAGAGTCAGAGGAGAGAGAGAGGAGACAGCCAGAGGAGAGAAGAGACAGCTGAGAGAGAGACGGGAGAGAGCGCGAGGGAAGAGAGAGACGAGACAGCTGCGAAAGATGGGAGAGAGGCAATAGTCCCAGTAACAATTTTAATGTGCTTGTTTTTTTTTAAATAAAGGTGTTTTTTCGTTGGTAGGTTGGGCTCGTCATTTGAAAAGTAGATCTCAAGACAAAAACCGCTGCATTAGGGGAACTGCTATAAACAAGCTCCCTGGCTCTGCAATAAGTGAAAAAGCTTGATTATTAAAAAAGAGCTAGTGAAAAGGGTTTGCTTGTCTCTGGGGGTGAAGATTTCCAAGTCACTAGCCTAAATCTGGAGTGATGGTAGTGGTTAGTTGAGGGGTTATATCTGGCTGACTAACAGCTTTGTTTGCTAGTGTCCAATCTCCTGTAGGCAGCAATATAACCCTCTTGTCTCAGAATTAACCCTGTGTTTGCTAGAGAACGGTATAGAAATGTATATACAATTATGAAAATCTGCTCTCAAAAGAAAGCTCCCCAAATAAATTATATATATATATATATACACAAAATCATGTGACGGCAGTGTGCTCTACTTCTTTGCAATATGTTTAACAAAATCAAAGATTTGCTTTTATTTTTTAAATGCAGCAGTGAATGGTTTGAAATTGTTGCTTGCTTTATACAAGCAATTATTTAATGAATTAATGGCATTGTTAGGAACATTTGATATGTTGTTTGTTTCGTCAGCACACATTAAGAAAGTATGAGATCTGTTCCGCGCTGTGTCATCATTTGTTTCCAGCTGCAGGTGTAAAAACACATTACGTAAGCTGCTGTATTTATGATCAACTAATGATGTTTTGGTTGTATAGAGCATTGTTCTAACTTTTGCAGATGTTGATTTTTATGGAGGATGTGTACTACTCAAAATATAATCTGCTTTTTGCTTCCTTACATTTTATTTAACAGACTTATCCAACCAAGTTTTAGTGTTTTCATGTAATTGGTTATCTTGATTTTGTCTTTTTTTTTTTTTCTAATAGAAAATGTAATTAATGGGCAAGAATATGAAGTGATGATGCAAATCGATTGTGAAGTAATGGACACCCGAATTTTACATGTTAAATCTGCATCTATTCCTCCATTCCTTCGAGAACATAGAGAGAATCAAACCAAGTCTTATTACAACTCTGCCTCCTCAAACTCTGAACAAACCCATGTCCTTAGCACCATCAGCGAGTCTCCGCTTTAATAGCCAAAAAGTCAACTGTATGTGAACATAAACTATGTATTTTGATCTATGTTGGCAATAATTTATTATATCATTTTGATATGTTTCTTAACCCATTTAGCTAAGCTTGAACTTAACATAACTCAATTTCCCAACTTTGTGGACACCCTTTCTGTTTGTAACAGTGTAAGTGATATTCCAAATCTTGATAAAAACAAGTCAAAGGTAGCTTCTCAATAGAAATAAGTTTACAACTGTGCTTTGCTGTTTTTCTGATATTATATAAACTTTTAAATGGGTCACACAGAACAATCATCCAAGATTCATGTATTTTGTTTGCAACTGAATCCCAATTTTAAAAAATCACAACAAACAAGTATATATAAATACCATTGAGTAGTTTATCGTCTGCATTTTCATGTATAACAACAAGTTTGTGTGCGTTTTTTTTTGTTTGTTTTTTTATTTATAGACGTGTATTACAGTTCATTCGGGTATTCAGCACTAGTCTACCTTGAGTGTTGTGCTTCCTATAAATTGTGTTCTTCTTTTTTTAAATAATGCAAAGTAACATGATATAAATTATAAATAATGACTGCAGATTTAGTCAGTAGATTCATTTTTAGTTAATTTTTCGTTAAGATAAATAGTTTTAAAAAATACTTATATTTTGGCTCATTTTTATTCTTGGTGCTTTTTTTTATAAGTTAAAACTAAAGTTTTATTTCTGTTTTGAATGTGTTTATATAAACTTTATTTTACAAATAAAAATTGAATACATGAAACCGAATACCCAGCTCGCATCGGGTTAGCTAAAGAGACAGCAGAATTTTCCTGCCATAAGACACTGTTTTGTCTTTCTGAAACTATAGACTGAACTTCTGAAAACGGACGAGGCAAATGTAAATGTAGGTAAATGTAATTTTAAGATGCTGAGCTTTTTCACAACATTAGGGAAACAAGTGGAAAATGGAAAAAGCAGCCTAAAACAATCTACTGGCTAGTTAGAAGACTGCATAATGCTCATAAACAATATTTAAAGTCTATTAATAGCCACATTTTTTTGCTGTTTGTGTCTCCACTGTGGAGATTCACATAGTCATCCCAGTGACCATTGTCATCGGGGTAGAAAGTGATGCGAAATCTAAGATTTTACTGTTGTCAACAAAGTAGGAGGTGAGGGTTAATGTTTCAGTGGGGACACGTGTTTCAGTGACAGTGCCTAAAAGGAGATTTCCTCTCACTTTCTGTCCATGAATGAGGAGAAATCTGCCCAGTTTAAACTTTTACCTCATTTAGCCAAAAGCTAAAACTAATGTGCCTATAGGTATACTTTTGTATTTACCTGGCTTAAAAAAAAGGCCATTAGTATTTTATGTTTAGTTCTGACCATAAAGAGAGAAAATATATACAAAACCACTATACATTTTATTTACCTTTTAAATAGCTAAGAGCTTATTGTATATTAGTAATATTTTACAGATTATTGAAATTCTGCTGTTCAAACTTTTGTGAGATGGAGGTATGGAGAAATAGAAAACTGGGAAGCTAAGATCCTGTGACCATGTTTAACCTTGCTTTCAAATATTTATTTATAATCTGTTTTTGAGTATCACATGGGAAAGAGGGTATTTAATGACTTTGAGCTTTGCACTGATCATTTGTTTTTTTGAAGAGTGAGCCTAAAGAGTGAACATTTGCCTTTTTCTCTGCATAATTGTCAGTTTGGATTTTTACTTTTATAAATAGCACTGTACTTTTATTAAAAAATAATCCGTTGGACTTTGTATAAGGTAGCATATAGGTTTTACTTTATATTTTCAAAATGTGTATGTGCTACATATAAGATATTATTCTAAAGCAGAATATCATACATCGTGGTCATGAGAACATGGTATATCACCCCCTTTTTCTTCTAATCTTATTTAATCAGGTTACACAGTTACTACACTATAACCCTTGTGAATTTTATATATTACTTTTATGAATTTTTAACATCAAAGTTCATAGAAATTAAACTATATACTGACCATTATAATTGCATAGAAATTAGAGCTTACTGGAGACATTTTCGCTCTGGGCTGGGCTGGAACAATGTGACTCCGGTGACCTCAGTTTTGTTTTGGAGTGCAGGTGTGGCTATCCAGTTATTCTGTTAATGTACTGTGGAATACTGATAGACATGTCCATTTCATTTGTTTAATGGTTCCTTATTTAATCTTTCAAAGGGAATTTCTAGGTCATACAAATATTCCATGATTTGAACTTTTAAAAACTGTTGAGGTTAACAATTTCTGTCCTACTTCAGAATTTTTGTTACAAAACACTTTATTTTTTTTTACTTCTCCATCTTTGGGTCCCCTGACATGCCACATAGGTTATATGACTGTATTTATAATGATTATACGTAGGAAGAAGGCCTTATGTCTCCACTATATTCATACCCCATACAGATCCTGTACATACCCCGATATTTATTTAGGTAAATCTATATTCTTTAGGATGGGGAAAATATTATGTAGTAACAACGGATACATCACAGAAGAGCAATATGCATAGACTCCAAGATCTGAGTAAAGTAGGTCAATTAATGATTCTATGGTATTTAACATATGTTAAAAAGTACAGTTTTTTAGCCTGACATTTCTATTATATAGGGAATTGTGGGTGAAACATAAAGGGACCTTACATGAAAAAAAGGAAACCCTAAGCCCCCAAATATAAACTGTGAGGTTAAAGCAAAATCAGAAGAATAAAATAAAAAATAGTTACTATGTATACTGACTTACCGTGTGCTCACTTAAGAGACTGACATCACTGGATCTTCTCCAGGGATCCTAGGATCAAATTCCTGTGGATTTGTGGATCCCTAGTTTTCCTTAGCATCCACGAGAAGGACCATTGATTTCACCTTTGCCTACAGGAAGCACCCAGAAGCTGGTGTGTAAGGTAAGTAATATTTTTTTTTTCTGATTTCTTTTTTTAAGAAGGTTGGGGGCTACCCAATAGGCAGACTTTGCATTGCTTTGAGATATTTTGGAGAAGTATGAAAGTCACATTTGTCTGCACCAAAACTGAAATCCTAGGAGGACAATTTTTTAATGTTGGTATTATGCTTCAATATTGAGTTCTTTGCTTCATTTGCCAGTCAGCCAAGTAACTCAGCCAGCCAGGAAACATATCACATGTCAGTGCAGCACAATAGAAGCTCTATTTATTTTGGGGGTGGGGGGGGGGTAATTTCACTGTTCCTCAAATAAAGGCCAGAATAAACTCTGTGATGATTTTGGAATGGAATGCTTATTATCAAGCAAACTATACTGAAATTCCATGTTATTAGGATTAATAGCTGTATTACATGGACAGCTCAGATAATGAGAAACCTAAGTTGGACATTTTTATGTTTGAAATGTATTTGTTTATTGTTGCTAATTGCATACATTTTCTTTAAAGATGTCCTAATATGTCAATTGTACATTATGGCTAATTTTACCTGAAAATGAAAAAAAATATGTTTTAGAAGAGTAATAAAAAGATTATTAAAATTGGGGTAATAGTTTTTTTTTTCCTTTTTTATTGTTTTTAGAGTTGACTGTTTCAACTAGCATGAACAATGTTTTGTTCATGACTACCTTTTAGTAGGCCTCTATCTATGAAACAGTGGTGAGAACACGTCTGTTATACAATGTATGCAACAGTTGCTGGATAAACATGAACATTAACACTTACCAATTATGTAAGGTTTTTTGTTAGAGTAACAATAGTGACTGGCTAGGCAAAACCGTTCATTCAGCCAGCCAATTTCCCCCCCAAAAAAATTGATTGGTATAGAGGTAGCTGCACAGGTTAAGGGTTGTCCACATGCAATATTTTATTTTATTTGACCTTTATTGGCTAAATCAGGTCATCTCTTGCCTGTGGGAATCTTAGTGCTGTTATTCCTTGATGTATTTGTGTACTTAAACAGCATCAAAATGTATGTTTCCTTGTGTTGGTTAAAGGAAGTCTTTCCTGAGAAAAACAGGGAGGCTGTTATTGTTGACTACCTTTTCTTCAATTGCTAGTTGCTTGGCTGTAATGCTGACTCTCAAACAGTAATTTGAGTCACTGATATAGAACAAGTAAGCAGATGAGCACTTCTTGGACTGGCCATACATACATTTTCCCCATCCACACAGTGCCAAATGGGGCATGTGGGCACATTGCACTGCACAGTGGCCTTAAGGGGCATGGTAATAGAGCATAAGCATACAAAATGTATACACAGTACACAGTCCTAACTGCAACATATTGCTCGATTTACTTTGCCACAAGTGAAAGTCCTATGCATAAACCTCAGGGCAATGGATCATTAAAAAAAAATTAACTTCTACTGCCCATGCTTTTCTGTAGCAGAATTTAGACAGAGTAAACAATTTTCTTGTTTATACATCATGAGACACAGGGAGTGCTTCTAGCAGCTATCTGTATTGGTTTTCTCTTCCGAAGTGCCTTGCGGGACTGTACCTGGACCCGCCATACAAGATGTGGAGTTGGCCTGTAATGTGCACTGCACCCTGTGTTATGCTGCACACCTATGTGACGAGTATGAGTTGCTGCAGAGTATTCTACAGGTCCAAGGATGCCCCTGCTGTGCATGTGCCTGCAATTTTCATGGGGTGCATGCTTGGAGAGGATGGCTATTCCGCTCGGACACACTTCTGCTTCCCTGCGGTTTGGCTTAACTCCTGCTGATCTACCTGTTGTAAATTATGATTGAAGTAGATATATTAGGGGTATATTTAGGGTGTATTCTCATGTATTGCATTCTTTTAACTGATGTTATTTAACACCCCTATGCTAACTAGGTTTTTATTGTGTAAGTTTATTGACCAGTTGACCATCCTGTTTTGTTGATTGTACACAATGGAACAGCTGTAGGGAATTTTGTCAAAACCTGTTCAGTTAACTAACATCAAAGGGGTAATTAGACCAGCCAATCAGAATCCTTTCAGTGTTAGTGAATGGCACTAAACTGTATATGAATAGAGAGCCTATGGTGGCTGGAAAAGAGTT